AAGTTTAAACACGTCACAGAGGAACATACTCTCTTCTGTATCGGAAGTGTAAGCCAAGCAAGAAGTAGGCGGCAAACCTGCTTCTGGAAGACTTAGAAATGGCTATCACAATAAAAATAGCTCCTATCTGCTTTACTCCTTCCCAGAAGCATATGATGGAATCGTTGTGTGAAAGGAGAAATATACGTACTTGGTTCCCTCCTGAAGATGGGGACAGCAGTTCCCTCCAAAACCTCTGCAACCACAAATTAGATTGTATTGTCATAACCCAGCCGTAAACACTTAAAATCTCTTGTGATATGTTCGTATTTTACACTTAATTTTGAGAAGCCTCTTTACTACCAAGGCATAGGCAGTAGTTGTTTCCTTTCAGCTGACCTAACTTGAAGATTCCACTTTAGGAACCTTTTTATCACCCCTGTTCTAAGGCAACTCAAGTCCCTTACAATGAGTATAAATTTATGAATCCTTTATTCGTAATGTGGGGATTAAGTCTCCTCTAAAGCTTAAGTAGGGACAGCATGAGCCTTGCGGACCGTTCCTAGGCTAATCTTGACATATCTTACGAGCGAGCAATTTACCACCGCGAAATGATAGATAATACAAGAGGATAAGGTGCGATTACTTCGGTATTCAATAAGCAACTCCATCCTAAATCTAAAATATCAACATACTAAGCCTGTGGATTACAAGTTACTCCTGGAACCGAGAACCGCATAAATTCGTTTATGTAATGGAAGAGTTAAGTAGCGCCTGCAGAAGTTGAAACAAAAGAGAACGCAGGCTATGTTCGCCATCGAGTAAAGGTTAACTTCTAGAACACAGAGCAGGATTGAGTTAGGAAAACCGGTTGTTTTCCTTGATCCATGTGCCCTACGTCTGTTGCAAGGCGTGTGGATGTTGATAACACACGGGTTATGGCGAACATAAAAAAGTTACGGCAGATTTTAAGCTAGTCCTGCATAAGAGAGGTGTTAAGAGGAAGCTTCCGGAAGTAACAGTTGTAACCGTGGGCCTAATGACTAGAATAATGCTACTGGCTCCAAAGACACGGATTCCATTCCTGGTTCTATACGAAAAGTTCTGATGATAGGATTTTCTCATAATTCTCCGGCGGCTCTTACTCCCCACTCAGCCATTTATTTCGCTTTATATCGTCAGCAGAAAAGAACATGTGCATTTAGTGTTTTATAGAATTTCGCTAAAGAGTACACTTTCGATTATCATCAGTGGGCCTTCCAACTGTCATCATCTTCCATTCTTCGATAACATGTGACTAAACGTATCTTAACAATCTCTGGCATGTTGTTCTCCCTCTTTCTCATACAGGCATGTTTTTTTGAGGAAGAGGAAGAGTAATAATGCGACTGATCACGCTAGTACACTAATTTTAATTTTGGTTAAATGAACTCACGGAAATCATCATATTATAATTTTCAGATCCGTATCTTACGCGGTAACTACCTTCTAAAGGAAGTTATTGAAGGAAATATAGAGGGGCGGATAGAAGTGAACAGAAGACGAGGAAGAAGACGTAAGAAGATGCTGGATGACCTTGGGGACAGAAGAGGACATTTTCATTTGAAGGAGAAAGCTCTAGATCGCATCAAGTGGAGGAACTGTTTTGGAAGAGACCGTGGACCTGTCGTCTTGACAGATTACTGATGAATGAATGAAGTCATTTATAGACTAACAGCACTCGCAATTTCCCTGTGCTAAACAATAGCTTATTGTTGTTAATACTGAGAAAGTTGACTCTAGCAGTAATAAACCCTCCTTGTATTTAGGAGGAGCCTGGTTAGAATCTTGGCTGGGACATCTAGTATCCTGACTGATGTGTTTTCGTGGTTTTCCACATTCCCTGCATTCAAATGCCTGGATTGCGCCCCAAAGGACTAAACCGATTCCTCCCACGTTCTGTCCAATTTATTATTCATTAATCGTCCAAACTTTTGACGCTATACAGCCTAAGCTACTTACGGCGTCATTTAATTAGGCACATATATAAAGAAGTTGTGGCTAATGTTCAGTCAGAACTTCCGGTTTCCTGTTGATTGGGGTTCGAGATTACGTTATTCCGTGTGCATTTTCTATGACAGTTTTCTTTTATCCTTTTCGCTTTTATATCTGTTGGTTCCAATCTTCTTTCTGTTATTCACGCGTTACGGCTAATGCAGTTTCTAAAGAATTTTCTTTATTAAATACCAAAAAGGAACTTCATACTCTTACAGTCAACCACAGTCTGATAAGTAATCTAAGCACCTAAAAAAATTTGAATGCTTAATTGGTAAACCGGTAGTAACTGCAAATTCTGATAACCTCTGCAGTTGATATCGCTCCATAAAGAACCCGAATAAATCTACCAAAATATAGCTCTACCTACAAACATGCGCACAAGAGAACTGAGATGGAGTAATATGGCATGCCCATTAGTCCATAAATTTTCTCAGTCTCTCCAAGAAAATGACAGAGTAATATTTTAATATAGATCACGCATAGTTCGTAATGTTATGTCAATTTCTTCTGCGATACAAAAAATTACAACTGCTTCTGGTCACAGTCTTCCTTCTACTTGAGTCCTTCAATTACCTGATTTTCTTTTTTCATAAGCTCATAGCGTTTGAGATGATAGGCTGTAGTAGTCTACCCTTAAATTATTACTCGGCGCTAAATAAGCTATTATAACTCACTTTTCTTAAAAACCTAAGTGTGAATTTTATAATAATATTAAAATTGAATACCTACATTGCAGGCTAAAAATGAACCTAGAACAGCTGCATTAAATTAAAAACCGGCATGACTGATTAATAGGCTGTCTTGGAGGTTTTGGAAATATTTTTCCCTTGCTTGATACATTAGCCTAGTTGTGGCACGTCATGTTCTTTGCTGATCGCTGTGCCTCGTGATTGTACTGAATATCATGAACCGTCAATAATTTTATGCGTTGCCCACAACGCTTTTCGACTTTTAACTAACTTCTGATGAGCAATAACTAACTTGGGTTTCTTTAAAGTCATTTTTATCCTACAAAAAATCATTTGCATGTTAAAATCACATTGGAGTCATATATTGCTGGAAAACTTCTTGTCGAATTGTAGCTGTAATTTTAGATTTACTATTACAAAAAGTGCACATTCTTTGTTGTTGTTGTTGTTGTTGTTGTTGTTGTTGATGATGATGATGATGATGGTGGTGGTGGTGGTGGTGGAGTTACGCAAGACCATTTAGATAAATATGGGAAATTCTTGCACCTCTGCTTGGAATTATAGGCAGTTCATTCATGTATGTGTTAATCTGCTTCAAAATAAGTCTGTTCACAGAAAAATTAGACAAAATTTACAAGGCCTAGATCTTAAGGAGATATATACTTAATACTCTGTTGTTCATCGAAGATTATATGATCCTAGGTGAAAATAATATCATCTTTAATTTCATCTAATATACATCAATATATCTTTCGGTTCGCTATTTAAAAACGCCTTCAGAACCGAGCCTAAATATAGTCAGATATAGGATTATTAATGACTGTGGAGCAGTTGGTGGAATGAAAATTAGTATGAGAAATCGAATTGCTCGAAGAAAGCCCGCACTGGTGCTACTTTGTTCACCAAAAATCCCACACGGCCTGTCCGGGGACGGAACTCAGGCCTTCGAGTCAGGAAGGAGGCAGCTAACCGCCTGATCTGTGGCATAGCCCTAAACTGCGCATAAAATTAATTGGAAGTACACGTGTGTCAGACTATAAAGTGAGACAGAACTTCGTAAAAAAGAACAATGAAATAATAGTAAATATTGTGTTAGAAGCCCTAATGAAGCAAACGTAATTCGGTAACAATAACAAGAATATTAACATACTGATAGTTAAAATTTGTCTGGTGATAAAGCAGCCGGGTCGTGAAACTGACTAATTTAATGAAAAGGTGAAGAATGCGTGGAGCTATACCTCCACTTCCTCACGTATTAATGGTGCTGTGCTTAATTAGGCTCAAGGACAATTTTATCTACAACATTTACCATAACCCAACAAAGTATGAAAAAGCCAAACTTCGAATTAGAGTAAGAAAATAAGGAATTTCTTCGTAGATTCAAATTTCGATAATAATTTATTGTTGTTTGTTTCTTCAATACATTTTTTTTCTTTGTTACTGCCAGGGAAATAAATGGCTGTCACAAGGCGGAATTGGTTTTTGGGTCGAGAGGAGAGTAAAGGTCTTGTGTTTGAGCTAGAGATAAAGTAGTTGTCTCTAGGGAGGATCCTCGAGAAAAGCATATTGTACATACAGGCGCATATGGACACGTATACACCCACACGGAATCTCTTGTCCTTGATTCATACTGGATTTATATCTCCACCATTATTGGCAAACTCCCTGGCCTCTGCAGCATCCCGTGACAGTTAAGTGTTGGAATCTGCTTGAAATACTATCTGAATGCTGCAATCTTCAGCCACCAGAGTTGCAAGATTCAGTCTATTGACTTCAGTTTTATATCGTCCTCAGTTCTGTCCCCAGACAAAGTAGGTTGTAGTATATCACATTATCGTGAATAGAAAATGTAATAAAGTGGTTGTATATTTAATAAATGAATATAATTTGTGTTACCTGCTTGTTTTTCTGGAAATGAAAAGATAAGAGACACGTCGTTTAAATTAAAGGGGATTATGTCATTGAATATTTATTAATTGATAATCAATAATTAAAATGTAAATAAATAATTACAATTTCTGTATTTCAGGGCTGAATCTGAGTAAATGTGTTTAGTCTGTTCGTAGTTGGAAGGAATGTTTGTAAGATCATTAGTACACGAAACATCAGGAATGACGTCAGAGACGCTACTGTGTGACATCACTGCATGTTCATGATAGCCAATCTAGATAGTAACAGAGTAACATAGCAAGAAAATCACTGGAAGGAACTTATGGATCGGGATAGGTTAGTAATAAGTACATACTATTAAAAATCATAAATTATGGCTGAAATGTTTACTGAGCATCAAATATATGACCTTTCAGAGGATGTTTCTCCTCGGATGTTGCCAGCACTGATAGTCAATCTTACGGCTGCCGGTTGCCTCGTGTATTGAACATGTGCTTAGAAAGTGAATTTGTTTGTAAATTGTGTGATATTTTGGTCATAAATTGAAGCAAGTGTGTACCAGATGGGTAAATCTAAGCGTAATAAAGCGAAAACAAGAGCCAAAAATCCAACCGGTCTTCCCAGCATTCGTGATATTGAAAGGGAACAAAGTGAATTGGGTGGTGGAGTTAGTGACCAGAAGTCCAAACAAGAATATGCAATTCAGACTCTACTTGAACTGGTACGTATTTAAGGCAGAACTATACGGGTAGGCTGTTTTAACTATATGGACAATCTCATAACAATTTATATAGTGTTTGGTGGTGTAATGTAGGGCCATGGCAGCAGAAGATATATGTGGATAACTAAATGAAGTTTGATATTCTTGAGGTACACGTTTAAAGAGGTCTGTAATCTTAGCTGAAATAATAATTAGAACATTGTGACATGCCATCCCACAAGCATTACAATTTTATGCCTTTCTTTACAGCTTCAGTCTCCAGATGCAGAAAACAAGGTTATTGGCCTACAGACATTAGCTACAGTGTTTGATGTGCCTGGTTCTGTGGAAGATGTTATGAAACATACAGTAGTGAAAGTAGCTGCACCATTACTCTTTGACAAGAGTACAACTGTCAGGAATGCAGCAGCTGGAGCACTTAGGTAGGTACTGGCGCTTCATTTTAGGCAAGTCCTGTGGGATTTGTGGTGGACATAGTTGGTTGGTATTCTTTGGATACTTCATTTTCCCCTACAAATTCTCATTTCACCAACTGCTCAACAATCATTAAACATCCTATCACATATAATACATAATCTCAATACTGGCATCATTCAGTAAGCAGCTTATATTGCCCCTGTACCAAAGTACCACGTGATGAAGGGGCTTGGAGACTTAAGTTTTTTGCACTGTAGACTTTTGAAGTACACAGAGGGAGTGGTCAGCTTCATGCTCCACTCACATCATTACCAAAAACCAAGCTGGAGGTGCCCAGGCTGTGCGGGCCACACAGCTGATTTTGATGTGGTGAAGCAATAATCTCTGACACTACTGAGATTGAAACCTTGGTTCTTCAGTAAATAGTCACCTGAGTGACTGACTATTCTGGTTCTAGTCCTCGTTGAGATGTTATAGGAAAGGAAGCAAGTTGAGTGCCATGTAGTGGTGAATGGTAAAGTTAGCAGGAACAATTATCTGGTATATCGCAAATTATTAAAAAACATTTTTGGCAGAACAGTTGCTTAAGTTCAGTAAATAAAGTAAAGGTATCCCTGTAACAGGCTGTGGAGGCCCATAGGCTTGTGAGATGTTGCGGTTTCCACATCTTCTAGACATTTGGCTCATAGATGGCAGTAAGGACAGACCTTTACCCCCAAGAACATTCCAAGAATATTCCTGGTACTCATTTCTGTTAGAGGCTGAGTCGACCCCAGGGCTATAGTGCGGCTGGAAGGATTAGGTGAATTGAAAAAATCCAATGACCTTATTTGGACTTGAACCCGCCACCTTCCAGCTTGTAGCATAGTGCCTCAGCCAACTACACTACCATGTGCCCCGCTTAAGTTCGGTATAAATTTATTTTACACTTCAATACACTCTCTAACACTACATGTTTCGGCCTCAAACGGCCATCTTCAGGTGTTTTTCTACAGATATTCAATTAAGACTGTGTCGAAATTGTGTTGAAACTGCTACAGTGTTTCACTGTTCCAACAAACTAGTAAAGACAACACCACATGTTGAGGAAGAAACACAAACCAGGNTATTTGGACTTGAACCCGCCACCTTCCAGCTTGTAGCATAGTGCCTCAGCCAACTACACTACCATGTGCCCCGCTTAAGTTCGGTATAAATTTATTTTACACTTCAATACACTCTCTAACACTACATGTTTCGGCCTCAAACGGCCATCTTCAGGTGTTTTTCTACAGATATTCAATTAAGACTGTGTCGAAATTGTGTTGAAACTGCTACAGTGTTTCACTGTTCCAACAAACTAGTAAAGACAACACCACATGTTGAGGAAGAAACACAAACCAGGAGAAAATAACTAACATGAGGAACAAGCTGCCAAGGAAAACATCTTATATTTTACGGAAATGACGACACCCTGAGTGAAGCAAAACAATAAGTAACAAATTATAAAAGAATTTTTTCTCATTTTAATTAAAAAGAGGACTACAGCATGTAGTTTTTTAAAAAAAAATTGGAACAGTGAAACAGTGTAGCAGTTTTGACACAATTTCGACACAGTCTTAATTGAATATCTGTAGAAAAACACCTGAAGATGGCCGTTTGAGGCCGAAACATGTAGTGTTAGAGAGTGCATTGAAGTGTAAAATAAATAGGGTTGCAATTTAGACGGATTATAGACAAATGGACGCTAATATACAGTGATGTTTAGTTCATTGAAATACTAAGAGAGCTGTGGGATGAGTATCATGGGAGAACCCATTCTAGTTCTCTTTTAACATGCTTATGTTATATGCTTTACTGCCATGTTACTAGGCAAACAGAAAACACCATTTTGGCTGAAAGCGTGTTCAGTATTCTGGTAAATATCCAAGATCGTGGCTTATGAGTCTTACAGCAGACTTATGTAGTACCCGTTTTAGGGAACTTCAAAGAAATCACATGTTTAAGGTCCATTTCTGTCTGCTTGTGACATGAACTTCCTACCCTGATGTAAGTAAGGTTTAGTCTTCCAAGTCCATATGTAAGTTGAGTTTTGCATATTTTGGAAGCTACTGTAAATTTGTAGGTTTGTCATAAGTACTTTGATGATATTTTACAGGCACTAAAAGTAATTTAGTATTGGCAAGTACCTGAAATAGTTCAATTCATTGTTGTAAGTTATTAAAGAAATTGATGCATGCAGTAAATCAGTTTAAAATGGTGTTTAACTTGTGTGCTTACCTACTAGCATAAGCTTCTGTGCACAACATATTTATTTTCAGAGGTTTTTGTGTGAAGTTGGATATGCAGAAGTTGAGTTCGGCATAACTCATGGAGCATCTGTAGTTGTTACACTAAATGCTTCTACCAGTTAACTTTGTTTCTATTTAACTTCAGATATCCATTATTCCATTACTGTCATGAATGCATCAATTTATGTATAATTTTTTGTTGAAAATTGGTTAGCAGCCTCTCAGGTTTGACGGTATCCTCCCAGGAGATCATGTGTCGTGGTTTTGTGGTTACACATGCCAGAGTGATTTCTTTGTTTATTTGTAACATTTAAGTTTCACAAGAGATATTTCAGTAGTCAGTAACTTCTATGACAGTGTATTGTTTGATATATATTTTAAATTGAATATTCCTTGACTTCATAATACAGTGTGAGTTATGCAATTGTGCACTGAAAAATTTATTTTCCCATCGGGTATAGCCACCCCATTAACACATAAGTTTGCTTCACACTTCACTATTAGAAAAATCACTGCAGAAATATTTCTGACATTAAATCCCACTTTCCACAGTTTCACTTGTAGCTTATCTCTGAATTTGTTATTCTCGACGGTATAATTTAGTGTTCAAAATTGTTTTGGTTTCTCTTGTCCTAAGTAGGGCCTGTTGTGATGTGGAATCTTACTTGTTTATTTTCAGAAATTTGAGTGCTTGTGGAAGCCATGACATTTGTAATTTACTTGTTGAGCAAGATGTAATGACACCACTTTCCGCATTGATTCAGAAGGTATGGAATATGTTATCAAGTCCTTTGGAAGTAATATTTATGCATCCAAAGCATGTTCTGGAGTTTATGTTAGAAATGTGTGTATGGTTTAAGACTTGATTCAGTGACACGTCACCAATCAGGTAGGTTGAGCATTAATTCTCTAGACTTGTATTCAGAATATACTTGGTTCATTTCTTGGTCAAGAAGCCAGCAGTCCTCACACAGGTCTTTTATGGTTTTCTTCAGTCCATCCATGTCAGGATAGTACCTCAGTTAAATCACAGACACTTCCAAATCCAATTCATTTCATTATTCACCAATCAGCATATTATTTGACAATGTATAATTTGAGATATCGATGTCAAATTGATATGCAAAAAATGAGTTTAAAGCAGGTAATTGTGTTACTTTTAGACGGAATCTTTAAATGTTGTATGTTTATTTCAAACGAGATGTTCTGGGAAGAGATAATTGCCTACTTTCCCTTCATACAACACGAACTTCATAGAAACCCCAAAAAATTGGGATACACAGACAAACAAACAGCAAGGTGCTCTCATAAGCCTCCTTTTATTTGTTCAAAATAAGGAACTGTTTCTGCCTCCATCATTAAGGTCTGATGAATCCCTGATGACGCTTACGTGGCTAATAGCATGACAAGATTTCTGTCAGCTTGAGCAGCCATGAAAGCTTCACATCTGTTATAGTTATGTGCTGTTGATTGTAATGGCTGTGTTGATTAAGGGTGGATATTACTTCAGATTGAACTGTTGATAGGGACAAATCCTACCCTCTTACCATATTTGCCAAAATCTCCTCAGTTTGGATGTTGTGTGGAGTAGCCAACTATGTAGATAAAATATTTTTGACATAAAACACCTCTGAAGTGCTTCCAGAGATCCAGTGAACCTGGAAAATGCAGGGTAAAATTATATGAGAGAAAGATAAAGAAGTTCTGGATACTTTGGAATGTAGATTCTGTTCTGGTATTTGATCAATGTAATGTGAACTCAGATTAAGAAAGAACTTCGATCCGCTAAAGACAAATAATATAAATGACAATTTTATTTCACTTGGTTCATCCTGTTCTGTGACACCAGCAGTAGTATAAAAGATCATCAGTGCCGTCCAATGTGATTGATATGTTTTTTTTTTAATAATTCATCCTGTACATGTTTCGGTCAGAGCGACCATCTTCAGAAGGACATATCAATACATGTGGTTTCCACATGTATTAATACATCCTTCTGAAGATGGTCACTGCCACCAAAACGTGTAAAGGATGAACTATTAAAAAAAGAAAAATATTGATCACACTGGACAGCGTTGATGATCTTTTAGATGATTTTATTGTTTTAATTAATGTGTTGGCTGAACATGTGTTATTTTTGAACAGTTAGGTATTATTTTTGCATTTAGTGAAGGAATAGGTAACTTAAGTTTTGATGAAGGTTAACAGTGGCTGCAGTTTTCCGTAAGGCCTTGGTCTTTTGAACTGTGGTTTTGCCATCCATAATGTTTATCAGAATGTAACTTCTCATAATATTATATTGTAGCATCCTGTTGCACTTTTCACTTATTGTTTTTAATTAGTTCTGGGGTCTTATATGCAACAATTTATTAAAGCTTAATAAAAGCTAGTCACATTAAAAGTTTTCAAAACATGTTTCGACCGAAGTGGTCATCATCAGGTGTTAAGTTGTGAGTGAGGAAACTGCTGTCTTTCTGCAATGATGTTTAATTGTTAATATATGGTTCCCATAGTGCACATGTGTGTGTTCCTTGTAGTGTTATGTTCCTTGTCTTCTTTCCATTTGCTGTTGGATCTGATCTAAATATTATCTAACAAGGAATACCTAGCAGAAGTCACAGATTCTGCATTCTCATTGTGTTGATTTCAAGCCTTACTTTTATTTTTGTGAATTACATAGGCAAAATTGGGAACCGGGATAGCACAGTCTGTATAGCAACCGGCTACACGGTGGACGACTGAGGAAGCAAAGTTTTGAGTCTTGGTAGGGTCAAGAATTTTCACTTCATGTTGTCCAGGCCAGCTCTGGGGCCCACACAGCCTCTGACCCAACGGGTACCAGGGGCTGTTTCCAGGGGGTAAAGCAGCTGGGGCGTGAACTTGACCACTCACCTCCCACTATTGCCGAGGTCAAGTAGACATGGATTTATACATCCACTCCCCCATTTGTCTTCATGACGTAGTGCTTAATTAGTTAAGCACAGGACAGCTTTACTTACTTTACTTTACATGGGCACAAATTCTATATTAGATCTGCTGGTTATAATCTCAAAGTTCTGCACCATCACCTTATTTGAATTTTTCATTTACATTTTTCATTTCATTTATTATGTGTAATAGGTATGTCTGTGATCTACACTAATCTACACCAGATTTCATATACCTAATTGTAATGATGCATAGTTATCACCATCAAACTGGAAGCCAAAGAAAATTTCCATAAGGCCACCATGTTATTAGTTTGCATTAAACAAGGAAGTTACTTTTCATATCAATAACCTGAATTAAGTGGTGGTGGTGTTGCATCACCTCAGGTGCTTGAACATACCCCATGTTATTGATGATGTGGGGAAGTAAAAGGTATGATGTTTTGGTGGGCTCATATGGTGAAATATTCAACCACATTTTGTAAAAATCAGCCAACCGGCGTAAAAGTTGATGTGGAATACACACACACACACACGCACAGTATGCAATGGATTTTCTATTAGAAGGCGCACTGGGTTAGTGCTGTTAGGGAAAGTAATCACTGTTTACTGTGAGAATTGTATGAAATGCATAGATATATTGTGTGGACAGAATGTAAATATGTTTAATGTTAAAGCAGGTGGTACATTTAGTAATGCTCTGCTTTAAAGGGTTGACATGTTGTCTATAAATATATGTGTGTAAAGTTTTCAAGCAGGCCCCTTCTTTTTAATTCTGTCGTTGAATTATGTCATCTTCTACTGTTGCACCACATTATGATATTTATTTGTGTTGGTAACAGTTTAGAGCAAGCAGTATTAGAGGCAGCCTCATTTTGCACATTTATATAGGTACTCTTTGGGAGCCAGGATAGCGCAGTTACATAGCGACTAGCTATGGACTGAATGGCCAAGGGTTTCTAGTTCCGAGTACCAGTAGATGCAAGATTTCTCTCCTCCACATTGTCCAGACCAGTTATGGGGCCCATCCAGCCTCCTATCCAGCATGTGGGTACAGGGGGGCTCTTTCCCGGGAGGGGGGTAAAGCGGCCGAGGCATAAAGCTGTCTTCATGGCACAGTGCATACTTAGTTAAGCACATGTACAACTTTACTTTTACTGTATCATTTTTTGCTTTAAATGTAAAGTATGCAGCCTTTATTATTGAACCTTAGCATTTTATTTTTATAATTTTATCAGAACAATATTGACTGTTAGAGACAGATTTTGGTATTTCTTCATGGGTTAATTGTCTCAGATTTGGGTTACTTGAAATCAGACTGATTCATGATTACAACTAAAAGGGTATACAAATTTTATGTAGAATTCTGGTATCTTTCTATGCTACTATAAACATTCATACAAAAATATATATGGGAAAGGTACGTACACCTTTACCTCTCGAGGGGAGTTGTGAGGATTGATGTCACAGTCAAAACAATGCAGAGCGTGCTGGTGGGACTCCTGGAGAAAGAAATCTCAAAACTCATTTCACCTTCTCCCCCGACCCTAGAATACTGTACTAGACTCTTCTTTGAGTGAGAGAGAGAACCAAAAGAAATAGTGCCATGTAATAATGCTTTTGAGATTTATTCAAAGTAAGTAAATGCATCTACAAAAAGATTTCCTGAGACAGAAGGTAAGATGAAGATGGGGGGGGGGAATAGGGTATAGGTGGAGAGAGGACAAAAGGACAAGAGGATGAGGAAAGAGGTTAGAAAGAGAAGAATTTCTACCCTTCATCTTCACCCTTCTTGTTTCCAGAGACTCCAGTTTCCTTCGTCTTACCTTTGCATATGTAACTTTGGGCCCTCTTGCTTTGCTCGAACCTTCCCAATCCCCAGCAGTCATTAATGGATGCCCCATGGGACCCCTTGAGATCTGCTCTGCTTAACTTTAATGTGCTGGGAGTTGCTAAGGTCCCACAGCTGTGGGATTAAACTTCCCCCACCTCCACTCTGCTTCCTTGTACCCATCCCTCTCCTCACCTCCCTCCGCTTCACCACTTCTCATCTGTAAAGTCAGGGATATATTGAAGTAGTAGCTTTAAAAGGAGGTGAGAATTATGTTTGTGATTCTGAGTAAGGATTGCTATCTTCCCTGCTGTGGCAGTGTCATTTGGCCTTCAGAAAGTATATATGAGGTTTATTTGTTAATTCGGTGAAGGTGGTCTTACAAGGTTGTCAGTATATTATGCATTATTTAGTTTTCTCCACCTCCTGTATTGCAGGTATGTCCAGCATGCAGATTTAACGTCTTAAATCAGTTACCCATAATTGGCATTGTGATATTTTAATAGGTCCCTTTGCAATTTTTATTTTGCTTTTAATATAGGTAAGGTGATAAAATCTGAGTGACGTTTGCTTTTAACAGAAAATAAGACAAAATGAAAAATAGTTAAAACAACTCTTGGTGACTGGATTCTCCCTCCTTCCTCAGGTAAAAAACCTGTTCAGTTTGACTAAGTTGATTGATGAATAAAAAGTCAGTAATTTTGTGTTTATGTTAAAATTAAATACAAAGTTTCAAACAAACATAATAAATTCTGTTGAGAAAAATAATTTTATGAGAAACCTTAATAAACGGTTATTTCAAGATATGGAATACCATGATGGATGCTGTATGCATACTTATTTTCACTCTTGACGTCTTCATATTACTTGATGAATTGCCTATCACAGGGATGGCAAACCATTCTGATGCCAGATTTACATCAAACGTTACTTACCAGTAAGAAATAGTGCCAGCCAACCATATTGCTCCAGTATCCTGTAGTGGGCTTAATGAGATATCTACTTCTAC